CAATGTTAGATAGCTAGCATAAAAAACCGATACATAATGCTGTAATAATGACGAAAATATTCTTAAAATATTGACAACTTCTTCAGTAAAACAGGGGGGAAACAAATACCGTACTTAAAGTTCTGGTTTTCACGCACAGTGATGAATAAATAGGTCAGAAAGGAATAATGTCCAAAAACAGAGATTTGTGTTCACAGCAGTAGCTGGTGAGCTGCATTTGGTTCTTCTAATAGCTGCAGTGTTGCCATGTCTAGCAAACATTTCTAGCCCAATGACCCCTGAAAACTAGCCCCAATTGTTTTTGGGTGCAGCAAGAGATGAGTTGCCACATTTATCCATGAAAACTTTTTTCCATGACATTATAGAACGAATTAAGAAGGAATATCTAAGTCAATTTTAACAACTTAGGCTAAGAAGCAAAATTGGGTTTTCCATCAAAATAATAATTCTTGCAAGTTTAAGAATATGTCGCAAGAGAAAAGATAAATCGCCCTTATTAAACTCATCATTTTCCATCAGTGGATGTCGATTTAACTTGTTTTGACTGCTATGATTAAACAATAAGGCCCTAGGTGGTGTGGTACACAGTTGAAGTCGGAAGTTTAAATACACTTAGGTTGGAGTCATTAAAACTCATTTTTGAACCACTCCAAAAAATTTCTTGTTAACAAACTATAGTTTTGGCAAGTCAGTTAGGACATCTACTTTGTGCATGACACAAGTAATTTTGCCAACAATTGTTTACAGACAGATTATTTCACTTATAATTCACTGTATCACAATTCCAGTGGGTCAGAAGTTTACATACACTAAGTTGACTGTGCCTTTAAGCAGCTTGGAAAATTCCAGAAAATGATGTCTTGGCTTTAGAAGCTTCTGATAGGCTAATTGATATCATTTGAGTGAATTGGAGGTGTACCTGTGGATGTATTTCAAGGCCTACCTTCAAACTCAGTGCCTCTTTGCTTGACATCATGGGAAAATCAAAAGAAATCAGCCGAGACCTCAGAAAGAAAATTGTAGACCTCCACAAGTCTGGTTCATCCTTGGGAGCAATTTCCAAACGCCTGAAGGTACCACGTTCATCTGTACAAACAATAGTACGCAAGTATAAACACCATGGGACCGCGCAGCCGTCATGAGAGATGAACGTACTTTGGTGCGAAAAGTGCAAATCAATCCCAGAACAACAGCAAAGGACCTTGTGAAGATGCTGGAGGAAACAGGTACAAAAGTATCAATATCCACAGTAAAACTAGTCCTATATCGACATAACCTGAAAGGCCGCTCAGCAAGGAAGAAGCCACTGCTCCAAAACCTCCATAAAAAAGCCAGACTACGGTTTGCAACTGCACAGGTGGACAAAGATCATACTTGAAATGTCCTCTGGTCTGATGAAACAAAAATAGAACTGTTTGGCCATAATGACCATCGTTATGTTTGGAGGAAAAAGGAGGTGGTTACTCTCACCTGAGGGAGACGTACCCTCATGAAAGTCGAGTCTATGGACATCCCGAGGTAGATCACCTTCTGTGAGGGGGTCAGGTGACTCTTCTCCTCGTTTAAGGTGAGGTCCAGAACTCGAATGTGGTTCAAGAGGGTCCTCATGTCCGTTGTGGCCTGTTCCCTGGATGGGGCAGACTATCCAATCGTCCAGGTAAGGCAGTTACTCCTCCAGTAGAATGTGGCACCACAGGAAAAGTCTGGCTGCAGTAACAGTGTCCACAATGCAATGTGAGAGTCCGGTCGGACAGGCCCTGGCCCAGAACTCTCTCACCATAGTAAACGAAAACTGATAGTGCTTTCGTATTGCCTGCGTCTGTGAAAAGTAAGTGTCCATTGCCCTAGCCGGGAAAAACACACTGGGGGAAGCCCCTAGTTCACCCGCAACAGCGAGAGGGGTGTATGCGGACAACTTTAATGTCCGGTTAACGTGTCTGTCAGACAGAACCCTTGGCCAGAATGAGAGGTTAGGATGTAGGTTGACAGTAAAGTAGTACAACGGAAAACTATCGTAAACCCAGCTACACACTGTGTGAAAACAGCAGTGCAATATAGTTATAATGTGAGTTTCCAGGGGAAGCTAGAATAGTTACTGTCTTAACTGTAAGTACAATAGAAAACTATCATGAATGCAGATCACAGTGTAATAGCTGAAAAGTGAGTTTCCATGGGGAAACTAGGATAGTCACTGGAAACTAGCATAGTTACTGTATGTAGCCTACTGTAAGTAGTGCAACAGGAACACTATAGTATACCCAGTAGTGTAATAGAGCTGTCAGTTTCCAATGAAGGGATAGTTACTGTCTGTACTGTAACGTAGAGCAACAGAACTATAATTAACCCAGCTATACACTGAAACCCTCAGTGTAATAGAGCTGAGATGGGTTTCCATGGGAAACTATGATAGTTACTGTCTGTACTGTAAAATAGTGTAACAGAAAACTATCGCAACCCAGCAACTGTGAAAAAACAACAGTGTAATCCCACTATGGTGGGGCTAGCATAAACTCAGCCCAACACCAGAGAATGAAGCCAACAGTGTAATCTCACTATGGTGGGGCTAGCATAAACTCAGCCCAACACCAGAGAATGAAGCCAACAGTGTAATCTCACTATGGTGGGGCTAGCATAAACTCAGCCCAATACCGGAGAATAAAGTCTCCTGAGTGGCGCAGTGGTCTAAGGCACTGCATTGCAGTGCTAGCTGTGCCACTAGAGATCCTGGTTCGAATCCAGGCTCTGTCGCAGCCGGCCGCGACCGGGAGACTCATGGGCAGCGCACAATTGGCCTAGCGTTGTCCAGGGTAGGGGAGGGAATGGCCGGCAGGGATGTAGCTCAGTTGATAGAGCATGGCGTTTGCAAAGCCAGGGTTGTGGGTTCGATTACCACGGGGGACCAGTATGAAAAAAATTAAAAATATATGTATTCACTAACTGTAAGTCGCTCTGGATAAGAGCGTCTGCTAAATGACGTAAATGTAAATAAAGCCAACAGTATAATCTCACTATGGTGGGGCTAGCATAAACTCAGCCCAATACTGGAGAATGAAGCCAACAGTGTAATATTACTGTGTCTATAGTATATACCAGGTCTAAATCCCTGATTAGAGGGGAACAATGAAAAAATGCAGTGGATCTGTCTTCGAGGCCCAGAGTTGAGTTTGAGGGGTATACTCTGTGCAATACTGCATGATAGAATAGAATGGGAACTACAGTATCAGCCTTAGTCTCATACACTACCTGAATGAAGGAGAGGAGACATGAATGGCTGTAGCTTTTCCTTGTGGAAAAATAATTAAGCCAGTGTAATGTACTACTGTATGTCTACAGTAAACACTGTGCAATACTGTATAATAGTAAATATTACTATGGCCCTACAGTATAACATTTACATTTTAGTCATTTAGCAGACGCTCTTATCCAGAGCGATTTACAGTTAGTGAGTGCATACATTATTTCCCAGGCTACGACAGAGCCTGGATTCAAACCAGGATCTCTAGTGGCACAGCTAGCACTGCGATGTAGTGCCTTAGACCACTGCGCCACTCGGGAGGTATCAGCCTTAGTCTCATACACTATGTGAAGGAGGAGACTTGGAGTGTGAACTGCTTGGGGCAGGGTATTCTAACTCACACACACACGTTTATAGTTTATTTCTTGCTTATTTGTTTATAGCTTATCTCGATATATACGTGGGGGTTGTCATGACTCTCTCCTTGGTGAGGATCAAAGGTGCCAGATCAGTTTGGCAAATGGCTGACAGATAGCCTTACATCTGAGAATGAAGGAGAAGGCCCATCAGAAGGAGAAGGCCCAATCGAACCCTTTCCACGAAGGCCTGGGTCCAACAGAGATACACGACGAAGACCTTCAACATGTAAATACATGCATTACTTCTTATCCAAAAGGGCTGGCAGTTCGGGGCAAGGTATTAGGATTACTGTGAGAGTAGTTCCCAAATGTATCCAAGTGTTGCTTCTCTTCCTCTCTTGCTTTCTCTCTTTCTTTAACTCTCCATCTGTTGTAACAAGTGTCATATTGCGTTAGTCTGCTAGGGACCTGTCGTCATTGTATTAAGTTTCTAATCAATAACCTATACCGTGTGTGTGTGTGTGTATCCTGTGTTATCATTTAGTTTGGTAGTAAATAAATAATCATATCAATTTGTGGTACGGAATGATCAGTTAGACTCGGGTTTGTGCAGATTCAAGAAGTCTGCGGCGTTCAGAATGAGACTGATATGAGGTCAATGATTAATAAATGGAGTATGAAAATGTATGCACTCACTACTGTAAGTCACTCTGGATAAGAGCGTCTGCTAAAATGACTAAAATGTAAAAATGTATACTTCTACACATTTACACTCTAACATAGAGGATTTTACCAAGCTGGAATGATCAGAGAAAAGGAAGAGATGGGTGTAGTGCGGCGGCAGCTATTTAAGGAAGTCAGCCGCAGCACTACCCGGTACGCGGGACTAATCTGAAATTCTTACTCGGAATGTATCCAGCCGTGCGGTAGGATACCATATTGCAGTGATCCAATATAGTGTTACATAACTTTCTCACTGCGCCACTGTAGCTAACCCGACGTGTGTTGATTGACAGCTTGCTGGTCCAATCAGAGGACAGAGTGTGCGTTTCACTAGCCAATCTGTTTTTTTTGCAAGTGCAATACTGTCTCTGGCTGCGTGGAGAGTAATCCACGGAGACTCTGTGCCACAAAATGAGTGACAAAACGTTACAAAACCTGGCCAGATAATTTAAAGTCATAAGTCTCAAGTCTAAGTCGAGTCCCGAGTCTTGAGGCTATCAAGTCGAAGTCAAGTCTCAAGTTATTTTATATCAAGTTGAGTGACTTGAGTCAGACGCGAGTCCATGTCATGTGACTCGAGTCCACACCTCTGCGTCACACCAATAAATGGAGACGTTTATTTTCAATGGGCTTTTTTTTTAAAGTGTGAAATGTAAATAGCAAGCAGAGGAGAAGAACTCACTGTTCTCTCGTAAGAATCTTAGTGCATCCATGTATCCATTCTGGCACATCTCTGCCATTACCTGTAACACATGAATTACTTGGTGATTTGTGTTGGACAAAACAAGCCACATATTCAGGATATAGTGTAGTACAAAACAAACATCCAACCTCTGCCCTATGGAAACTGTTCTATGGAAACTGTTCTATGGAAACTGATCTATGGTGACCCCAAACCTGTTCATGACATCAGACTGAGTTGTGCTAATGACTCACCTCTGGCTCTGGTGGTAAAAAAGACATGATCACCCGGTGCAAGTTGTTAGTATTAAACTGGATACTGGCGTTATTCTGGTGATACTCATGGAAGTTGAGTGTACTTTCCCTGGGACAGACGTCGCTCTCACCAGAGAACGGGCAAACTATGATGGTGTTCTTCAGATCAAAATGGGGCATGTTGTTACTCAAGGCACCATCCACGTAGCGCTGAATGGAGACAAATTCCCATAAGCAGGGCTATTGAAAACTAAATGCTGATCAGGTAAATCAAACGGGAAATACAAGCAAGTTGAAATGACTGTGGATGCTGTAGCAATATTGATGTTACACATAACAATGTTACACAGCAAACATAAATATATTCACTCTATGTAAGCCTACTGTGACTGACAATATATAACACAAAGCATATTTAAACATGGTGGCAGCGGTGGGATTTCAACCCACACCACTGAGAAGACTGCAAAAAAATTGTAGAGGTCCACCACTGAGGCAAACATCTTTAGGCTTACTCACCACTCCATGGTAAGAAGGTGGGATCACGCCACAGTAAAAGGGGTAAAAACAGCTACATAGGAGAACCTAAAAATTAGACAATGTCAAAATTAACTTAAATCAGGATATATACACTACATGGCCAAAAGTATGTGGACATGTGCTCGTCGAACATCTCATTCCAAAATCATGGCCACTAATATGGAGTTGGTCCCCCCTTTGCTGCTATAACAGCCTCCACTCTTCTGGGAAGGCTTTCCACTAGATGTTGGAACATCGCTGCGTGGACTTGCTTCCATTCAGCCACAAGAGCATTAATGAGGTCGGGTGATTAGGCCTGGCTCGCAGTCGGCATTCCAATTCATCCCAAAGGTGTTCGAAGGGGTTGAGGTCAGGGCTCTGTGCAGGCCAGTCAAGTTCGTCCACACCGATCTCAACAAACCATTTCTGTATGGACCTTGCTTTGTGCACGGGGGCATTATCATGCTGAAACAGGAAAGGGCCTTCCCCAAACTGTTGCCACAAAGTTGGAAGCACAGAAACGTCTAGAATGTCATTGTATGTTGTAGTGTTAAGATTTCCCTTCACTGGAACTAAGGGGCCTAGCCCGAACCATGGAAAACAGCCCCAGACCATTATTCCTCCTCCACCAAACTTTAGTTGGCACTCTGCATTGGGGCAGGTAGCGTTCTCCTAGCATCCGCCAAACCCAGATTCATCCGTCAGACTACCAGATGGTGAAGCGTGATTCATCACTCCAGAGAACGTGTTTCCACTACTCCAGAGTCCAATGGCGGCGAGCTTTACACCACTCCAGCCGACGCTTGGCATTGCATATGGTGATCTTAGGCTTGTGTGAAGCTGCTCGGCCATGGAAACCCATTTCCTGAAGCTCCCGACAAACAGTTATTGTGCTGACATTGCTTCCGGAGGCAGTTTGGAACTCGGTTGTGAGTGTTGCAACCGAGGACAGACAATTTCTATGCATTACGTGCTTCAGCACTCATCGGTCCCGTTCTGTGAGCTTGTGTGGCCTACCACTTTGCGGCTGAGCCATTGTTGCTCCTAGATGTTTCCACTTCACAATAACAGCACTTACAGTTGACATTGGCAGCTCTAGCAGGACAGAAATTTGACGAACTGACTTGTTGGAAAGGTGGCATCCTACGACGGTGCCACATGGAAAGTCACTAAGCTCTTCAGTACGGGCCATTCTACTGCCAATGTTTGTCTATGGAGATTGCATGGCTGTGTGTTCGATTTTATACACCTGTCAGCAACGGGTGTGGCTGAAATAGTCGAATCCACTAATTTGAAGGGGTGTCCACATACTTTTGTATATATAGTGTATCGTACTCATTTCAGTGTCCTGGATTTACTTTTACTATGAGACCAGGCTGGATTTTGCTAACGTTACTTTGGACAAAATCAAGGACGACAATATTCTTAATGCTTTTTGAATAAAATATTTTTAAAAGGTCAACTCCACCACTTTTCAACCTCATTTTCATTATCTCCAGCACAATACAATACCAGTGATAATGAATATGAGGTTGAAAAGTGGCAGAATTGCCCTTTAAATTACAGCTCAATTTGAGCAAATTCTGAATTTGTGATCAATTAATTTGCGATTAATCACAGCAAATCCTGGGATAAACACAATAATTTTTTTATCGTTTGAACTACCTATTCATAAACCATGGTGAGTTACCACATGATGGCCATCCTGTAGAATTTAAAAATGCACGTTTAAATCTATCTATATTTCATGAGCAGTAGGGAATATCCCATGTCCCATAGGCTATATTAAAAGTAATATTATATTATTTTTAGAATACCTGGATGAGTTCCTCTTTACTGTCAAACTCTGACACCAGAACATTCTTTCCGTCGGACACTCTGGTGAGGGACACACAGAGTCTTCCTGAGGCACGGAGGTGGGCATCGGCTGGAAGGTCATGCTCCATGGAGTCACGGACCATCTTCAGCAGGTTAAAAGACGGGTGCAGGGGGCCCAGTTTACGCTTCCTGGCCTCTCTGGCCATCGACATCAAATTCTTACAGTACCGCTCTGTAAAGGGACCAACACTTTTGCTTAATTGTCTCCTACACAACTTCATATGCTTATTTAAACAGGTTTAAGAGGAGATACAATAGTCTCACAATAGGTTAAATGGTGACCTGCAATGCAAACAATAAAACAACAACATCTTAGGTAAACAGCTGAGGGATGGGGCTGGAGAAATGTAACCACTTTCAAATTATTTGACAGAGCCAGCATCCATATTCATTATCACTGGTATTGTATTGTGCTGGAGATAATGAAAATGAGGTTGAAAAGTGGTGGAGTTGACCTTTAAGATATTTTATACAAAAAGGACTGACCATCCAAGAGATCAAATTACAGTTTAACCATGTTTTGAAGATATACATTTGTTTACAATTACATTGTTTACAAAAACTGAAATTAAACAAGCTTATATTCTGGGTTATGATGGGGTATGAGAGTTTAACTAAGCTCATGAGGCATTTATCAGTTATATTCTTTAAGAATCAATGGGTTTATCATTCATTTAAAAGTCCAAATATTTATTCACCAATCGCAGATTGCCCCTTTAACAATAATGGAGAAATCTAATTTGTAAGCTATTTGGACAACCTTTAACTTACCTGTAGGCTAAGGTTAAGGCAACATCAATTGATGACATCAAATATGTTTTACAGTGTATTCAGAAAGTATTCAGACCCCCTGACCTTTTCCACATTGTTACGTTACAGCCTTATTCTAAAATTGATTAAATTACAAAAAAATCCCTCATCAATCTACACACAATACCCCATGACAAAGCAAAAACAGGTTTTAAAAAGTAAGTATTTAGACCCTTTACTCAGTACTTTGTTGAAGTGCCTTTGGCAGCAATTACAGCCTAAAGTCTTCCTGGGTATGACGCTACAAGCTTGGCACACCTGTATTTGGGGAGTTTCTCCCATTCTTCTCTACAGATCCTCTCAAGCTCTGTCAGGTTGGATGGGGAGCGTCGCTACACAGCTATTTTCAGGTCTCTCCAGAGATGTTTGATCGGGTTCAAGTCCGGGCTCTGGCTGGGCCACTCAAGGACATTCAGAGACTTGTCCCGAAGCCACTCCTGCGTTGTGTTGGCTGTGTGCTTAGGGTCGTTGTCCTGTTGGAAGGTTAACATTTGCCCCAGTCTGAGGTTCTGAGCGCTCTGGAGGACCTCTCTGTACTTTGTGCCGTTCATCTTTCCCTCGATCCTGACTAGTCTCCCAGTCCCTGCTGCTGAAAAACATCCCCACAGCATGATGCTGCCACCACCATGCTTCACCGTAGGGATGGTGCCATGTTTCCTCCAGACGTGATGCTTGGCATTCAGGCCAAAGAGTTCAATCTTGGTTTCATCAGACCAGAGATTCTTGTTTCTTATGGTCTAAGAATCCTTTAGGTGGCTTTTGGCAAACTCCAAGCGAGCTGTCATGTGCCTTTTACTGAGGAGTGGCTTCCGTCTGGCCACTCTACCATAAAGGCCTAATTGGTGGAGTGCTGCAGAGATGGTTGTCCTTCTCGAAGGTTCTCTCATCTCCACAGAGGAACTATGGAGCTCTGTCAGAGTGACCATCGGGTTCTTGGTCACATCCCTGACCAAGGCCTTTCTCCCCCGATGGCTCAGTTTGGCCGGGTGGCCAGCTCTAGGAAGAGTCTTGGTGGTTCCAAACTTCTTCCATTTAAGAATGATGGAGGCCACTGTGTTCTTGGGGACCTTCAATGCTGCATAATTTTTTTTGTACCCTTCCCCAGATCTGTGCCTCGACACAATCCTGTCTCGGAGCTCTAAGGAAAATTCCTTCGACCTCATTACTTGGTTTTTGCTCTGACATGCACTGTCAACTGTGGGACCTTATATGTCCAATCAATTGAATTTACCACAGGTGGACCCCAATCAAGTTGTAGAAACATCTCAAGGATGATCAATGGAAACAGGATGCACCTGAGCTCAATTTTGAGTCTCATAGCAAAAGGGTCTGAATATTTATGTAAATATGGTATTTCTGTTTTTAATGTTTTATAAATTTGCAAAAAAATCTAAAAACCTGTTTTCGATTTGTCATTACAGGGTATTATGTATAGATTGATGAGGATTTTTATTTATTTAATCCAGTTTAGAATAAGGCTGTAACATAACGAAATGTGGAAAACGTAAAGTTGTCTGAATATTTTCCGAATGCACTTTATATATTAATTTTTTACAGTGATAATAGACATTGGCACTTTCCGCCTCAGCAATGTAGCCTACACATAGTCACTCATAGCATACGTACCTAAAGGCATTCCAATGGTGAGGACCGCAGCGATAACTGAACCCGAAGACGCACCAGAGATTTTGGATGCGCCTTGAACGAGGTGCGGCGCCTGCTCAAGGAAACAGCTGCATGCGCCGACATAATAAATGCTCGTGAAGCCACAACCTGCAAAAGAAATATTCCATCCAGTTCCACGCTCCATAACTGTTCACTTGGCATCAATTTACTGTTAAGTAGACTGTTAAGTATGGGTGTTATGTAGCACGAAAGGACCCACAAAATCTGTCTCTCCAACCAAAGAACCAACAACATGGATCATATTTAAAAAGCATTCGCCAAATAAAAAGTATATATACAAAAGTTATTAATTCTATAATTCTACAAAATCCCAAGGTAAAAACAGTGGTAAAAGGTCAGCGGTAAAAACTAGGGCTTCGGTGTGGAGTTTGCGTAATTGCGCAACCCAAAATATCAGTAATCTTCCCATTGGCTCATATTGTCACATGGTTGAAGGAGGGTCAAAAGTCCAGTGTTGTTTATTGTACAGGCCATCTGTCTTCTGCAAACAAAACGGTGCATAATTCTGACTCGGAAGTGTGTATAAGCTACTGATTATATTTTCTGTTTATTCTGATTTGTTTTTCCAAACAAATATTAGTTAATCTGATGTAGGCCATCAGTTTATTCTGGGCTGGTTTCTTTATAGTGATAGATGTTTATTTGAATACATTTACAAATTTGTATCATGTCTTTATGTTAAACATTCATGAATCATCATCATGACAAGGAATGTTAACCCCAACATTTTACAAAATAATTAACATATTAATGCTTATGATATCGAAACTTTAGTTTATTGTAGATGCTGTGGCTAGAGACAGCAACTGGAGTCCCTGGGGTCGGGTCCTGTTCCACTTTCTGCGGCCACAGTTGGAGGCCTGAAGGCAGGCTGCTGCACCTTCGGAGAAGAGCCTCACTGCAGTCAGACAAAGAGACAGGCGACTAGGCATCAATACTGACTGAACAGCTCAACATATTAAAAACTACAGGGCAGAAACATTCCAAATTCCACATCAGAATGTAGAGTAGACCTCAGAAATTCAAACACGTCAAGAATGGAGGTCGTTCGGAACACTGAAATGTCTGTAACTTATACCACACCATATACAATGAGTTTACAAAACATTAAGAATACCTTTCTAATATTGAGCAGCACCACCTTTGCCCTCAGAACAGCCTCAATTCATCGGGGAATGGACTCTACAAGGTGTCGAAAACGTTCCACAGGGATGCTGGCCCATGTTGACTCCAATGCTTCCCACAGTTGTGTCAAGTTGGCTGGATGTCCTTTGGGTGGTGGACCATTCTTGATACACACGGGAAACTGTTGAGCGTGAAAAACCCAGCAGCATTGCAGTTCTTGACACAAACCGGTGCGCCTGGCACCTACTACCATACCCCGTTCAAAGACAAATCTTTTGTCTTGCCCATTCACCCTCTGAATGGCACACATATACAATCCATGTCTCAATTGTCTCAAGGCTTAGAAATCCTTCTTTAACCTGCCTCCTCCCCTTCATCTACACTGATTGAAGTGGATTTAACAAGTGACATCAATAAGGGATCATAGCTTTCACCTGGATTTAACTGCCCGAGTTACACCAGGAATGCACAATCCCTCCATCAGTGCTCAGACTGTCCGCAATAGGCTGAGAGAGGCTGGACTGAGGGCTTGTAGGCCTGTTGTAAGGCAGGTCCTCTCCAGACATCACCGGCAACAACGTCGCCTATGGGCACAAACCCACCGTCGCTGGACCAGACAGGACTGACAAAAAGTGCTCTTCACTGACGAGTCGCCAGGGGTGATGGTCGGATTCGCGTTTATCGTCGAAGGAATGAGCATTACACCGAGGCCTGTACTCTGGAGCGGGATCGTTTTGGAGGTGGAGGATCCATCATGGTCTGGGGCAGTGTGACACAGCATCATCGGACTGAGCTTGTTGTCATTGCAGGCAATCTCAACGCTGTGCGTTACAGGGAAGACATCCTCCTCCCTCATGTGGTACCCTTCCTGCAGGCTCATCCTGACATGACCCTCCAGCATGACAATGCCACCAGCCATACTGCTCGTTCTGTGCGTGGTTTCCTGCAAGACAGGAATGTCAGTGTTCTGCCATGGCCAGCGAAGAGCCCGTATCTCAATCCCATTGACCATGTCTGTGACCTGTTGGATCTGAGGGTGAGGGCTAGGGCCATTCCCCCCCAGAAATGTCTGGGAACTTGCGGGTGCCTTGGTGGAAGAGTGGGGTAACATCTCACAGCAAGAACTGGCAAATCTGGTGCAGTCCATGAGGAGGAGATGCACTGCAGTACTTAATGCAGCTGGTGGCCACACCAGATACTGACTGTTACTTTTGATTTTGACCCCCCTTTGTTCAAAAGACACATTATTCCATTTATGTTAGTCACATGTCTGTGGAACTAGTTCAGTTTATGTCTCAGTTGTTGAATCTTGTTATGTTCATACAAATATTTACACATGTTAAGTTTGCTGAAAATAAACGCAGTTGACAGTGGGAGGACGATTCTTTTTTTGCTGAGTTTACATTGATATGTTGAGAGGGTTTGTGGACACACACCTGTCAGTTTCCCCAGGTCTCCCCTTCCATGCCTGCCTGTAGACGTCCCCGACCATACCATAAAGCTAACCCATGTCAGATGAAACCTCTGGAATCCAGTCCACAAGCCTGGGGTACATCATCACCATAGTATTACCCCGAAAGAATAACAGTGCTTTTATCACATTAAAGGGACAGGTCACCCAAATTAAATGCAACTCATTTAATGGGTACAAAGATTTATAATTGTTTTACCTAGTTAGTTACAGTTGAACATTAACAGAACCGCTGTTAGTGTAACTAGTCAAATTTGTTTGGAGCGTTTTTCCTGTTTAGTTTGGACCAATGTTGAACACTATCCGCACTCTGGAGCACACTAAACAATGCGCCATGGTTCGCTCAAAAGGTGTGGTCTGCCGTGGTTCGCTCAAAAGGTGTGGTCTGCCGTGGTTCGCTCAAAAGGTGTGGTCTCGGTCAGCGGTGAGGTTCACTTTAGGTGAGAATGCAGTCCGGACCAGAACACAGGAAAATAACCAAAGGCGTGCAATATTATTGGTTGCTTGACAGCGAGCGTTTGATGAGAGCATCTGATGCAGATTAGGGGAGACAGGGTCTATACCGGGATAGGCCACTGAATACAGGCTATTGACGTGGCAGTAGAGTTTCCTCCCGGATGTTGTTGTTAGACCAAATCCACAATAAACAGAACACGTGGTTATGTTTAGGCATTTTCGTTCCTTTGACATGTGGCAACGTGAAACCAACCAGACCAAATGAAAAAAATACAATGTGACAAATAATCAAACTCTGATTTGAACTATAGCTCAGAAATGTGTGTGAAAGTCTCAGGCAGAGTTACCTCATCACGAGAGTGAGTCCAACTCACCTCTGAACATTAGCATCAGAGTTACCTCATCAGGAGAGTCATTAACCTGCCCTTAAAAACAAGCCTCCTTCCCTTTATGGACTACTTTCCCGAGTGTGTGACATGCATCATTGTCATACTATAAATCAAGTTTTATAAAACACTCATGAGAACAGATCTCACACACACACCCCTCCCAATAGTGGTCACAGTTACAGTGGGGAAAAAAAGTATTGTGCAAGTTCTCCCACTTAAAAAGATGAGAGAGGCCTGTAATATTCATCATAGGTACACGTCAACTATGACAGACAAAATGAGAAAAAAAATCCAGAATATCACATTGTAGGATTTTTAATGAATTTATTTGCAAATGATGGTGGAAAATAAGTATTTGGTCAATAACAAAAGTTTCTCAATACTTTGTTATATACCCTTTGTTGGCAATGACACAGGTCAAACGTTTTCTGTAAGTCTTCACAAGGTTTTCACACACTGTTGCTGGTATGTTGGCCCATTCCTCCATGCAGATCTCCTCTAGAGCAGTGATGTTTTGGGGCTGTCGCTGGGCAACACAGACTTTCAACTCCCTCCAAAGATTTTCTATGGGGTTGAGATCTGGAGACTGGCTAGGCCACTCCAGGACCTTGAAATGCTTCTTACGAAGCCACTCCTTCGTTGCCCGGGCGGTGTGTTTGGGATCATTGTCATGCTGAAAGAAATCTCACGATACATGGCCCCATTCATTCTTTCCTTTACACGGATCAGTCGTCCTGGTCCCTTTGCAGAAAAACAGCCCCAAAGCATGATGTTTCCACCCCCATGCTTCACAGAAGGTATGGTGTTCTTTGGATGCAACTCAGCATTCTTTGTCCTCCAAACACGACGAGTTGAGTTTTTACCAAAAAGTTATATTTTGGTTTCATCTGACCATATGACATTCTCCCAATCCTCTTCTGGATCATCCAAATGCACTCTAGCAAACTTCAGATGGGCCTGGACATGTACTGGCTTAAGCAGGGGGACACGTCTGGCACTGCAGGATTTGAGTCCCTGGCGACGTAGTGTGTTACTGATGGTAGGCTTTGTTACTTTGGTCCCAGCTCTCTGCAGGTCATTCACTAGGTCCCCCCGTGTGGTTCTGGGATTTTTCTTGTGATCAGTTTGACCCCACGGGGTGAGATCTTGCGTCGAGGGATCGAGGGAGGGAGGGAGATTATCAGTGGTCTTGTATGTCTTCCATTTCCTAATAATTGCTCCCACAGTTGATTTCTTCAAACCAAGCTGCTTACCTATTGCAGATTCAGTCTTCCCAGCCTGGTGCAGGTCTACAATTTTGTTTCTGGTGTCCTTTGACAGCTCTTTGGTCTTGGCCATAGTGGAGTTTGGAGTGTGACTGTTTGAGGTTGTGGACAGGTGTCTTTTATACTGATAACAAGTTCAAACAGGTGCCATTAATACAGGTAACGAGTGGAGGACAGAGGAGCCTCTTAAAGAAGATGTTACAGGTCTGTGAGAGCCAGAAATCTTGCTTGTTTGTAGTTGACCAAATACTTATTTTCCACCATCATTTGCAAATAAATTCATAAAAAATCCTACAATGTGATTTTCTGGATTTTCTTTTCTCAATTTGTCTGTCATAGTTGACGTGTACCTATGATGAAAATTACAGGCCTCTCTCATCTTTTTAAGTGGGAGAACTTGCACAATTGGTGGCTGACT